CTGCCACCCTTGGGACTTCAGAGTCAGGCTCTGAGCCAAGAAATGTGATGAAGACAAGAGCAGCCAAGGCCAGGGATCCTCCTTCAGCTGAGGCCAATATGGTGCCTTCGTTTATTTTCCCTACACAGCCTGAAGAACGAACATCACTGCAAATCCATGTGGAAAGAGAAAGCAAAGCCAGAATTACCTTTCCCAACAGCTCTGCCAATGGACAGGAGCCTGGCCCAGTGCTCGTAGCACACCAGTCCAACTGCTCCTAGCCCAGAGAGCTCCATCTGAAGACACAGCAACGGGCTCCATCTCTGCTGGCAGAGCAGCTGATGTCTTTGTCATGAATAAGCAGACAGCCCTTTTTATCTGCAGGTGCCAGCTTTGCCCTCACATTCACCAAACTCAGATTTTTGTTCTAGTTTAATCAACACAACCCATTGCCAGCAGCACTTCCTTTCATCCCATTTTATGGCTCACATGTGCAGCACTGTCTTGTGCAAATTATGATGGCACAAACACCACCTGCCACTGGTTTGTGACTTTTTAATCTGCCTTCTGTGTGCTCAGGTAATCCCTGTTGCCATTTTCCAGGCATTTTATGGAAAACCCACAATTCTCAGCTCTTTTAATCAAAGTCCCAGCAGTTTTGAGAAATTTAATTTTGATTTAAAGTGAGTAACATGAGTGACCCTGTGCCAAAGCCAAGAGCACCTGGAGAGAAACAAGAGGCCAAAGGAAGAGACAGGACGAATGAATAGTGTTGCTAAGAGGATATATGACGCAGCCAAGTCATGGGGAAAAATAAAAAGCACAGAAATGCAGCTTCAACATAATCTCCATATCCCCAGTAAGCTTTCAAGCACTGAAGAGTGCACATTTGCTTCTTAAGAACACAGGAGTCTAGTAAAGCAATTCATACAAGCATGGCTCCTCTACTGAGGTTGGAATAGCATCACATTGGCGAAGGCCTCAGGATCAGGCCTTACATTTACCCAAGAAAAAGAAATACTTGAAAATTCAGATGATTAAATGCAGACTGCTGCTCACTTTACCTCTGTGGTCTCCAATAAGTACCATAAATCCTGGTTTCACTTCGAGACCAATTGTCACATTATAACCCTGCTACATAGGCATACACACATTCCTTGCTATAAAGAGAAGGCAAGAAATCCATGCCAGATTAGAACATATGGAATCTCTGTTTATGGATAAGTCATTTTTAAAGCCTCTCTCTCCATGAGTCATATGTGAATCACCGAAAGTGTCCTGTCAACAATAGTTTATTTACATACAGAACCAATTAGTATTATGATGGCAGCCTGGAGAAGCAGGATTATAGTGAGGAGACATAAATGCAGTGATGCCATTTTAGGAAAGCTGGGGGACAGAGGTCTGCAGACCTCCTGCCCAGAAGATATGAATTGGCCACCTCCCCAGATTGCCAAAATGAAACTCGTTTTGATTCATCTTCCACCACCAAGAGGATTACTCCTAAATTAAAAGCCTGAATCCTCATTTGTATCAGTTTAGTTTCTCAGTACTCCATACCCATTTGTGATTTCGAAAAGTTTTAAACGCCCCAAAACATTTGCATTCCTTATTTGAAGATTATTTCAAGTCAGCAACTAAATTTGAGACCAAATTAAATTTACACAGCCTCTTTAAACTACTCAGCTCAGTACATACAGCTTCTCTGGGACTTGCACGGACCTTTCATCATTAATAAGTGGAACAAGATAATTACATGCTCCAGTAGCTCATCGGGGTCTAGAAGTTATCACCACATAACCTGCTTCGTAATGGAAGAAATCATCTCTGCTAGAGCTGGGAGCATAATTCAAAGACATTTCCATAAATATATAAACACTGTGAAATGAATTTATGTGACGTGGAGGCATTTCATTTTCTGAGCTCCTAATGTGTTTGCTCATTAATGTGTCAGGAATATTCGCTTTGATTTGCTCCATTTAGCTCGGGAGGGTGTTTGACAGCAAAACAGTTAAAACTGTTCCATCAGAGCTCGTGAAATAAGGGCATCTCAGATCAGCAGTGCTAAGAGAGCTCTGCCCAGCCCTTACACAGGACCAGACGCCGCTGTGGATGCTGCAGGGGATGCTCGGCACTGCGCATCCTCACAAGGACTCCGACCTCTTGCAATTTTAATAAACGCTTGCAGGCAGATAGATTTCTTGAAATTTTCTCCTGCCACACGAGCTTCCTACAGCCCCGCTCTCACTCCGAGGTTCCCCTTTAGAGGGCACTGCGTTCACAGCATCGCCTCTCGGGGCGGGGCCGGAGAGCAGGCAGAGCATCGGATGGAAAGAACACGCCGAGCCCTTTCGGAGGGACAGAGCCCCATAGGGGACCCAAGGGAATCCCCCACTCTGCAGGTGGCAGCGGGACAGCGAGTCCCAAACACCGCTCATGGACTCATTCACGTTGGAAAAGACCCTAAGATCACTCAGTCCACCCATCAACCCATCCCACCATGTCCACCGACCACATCTATTCTTTCCTTGGACAGTAACTCCACCACTACCCATTGCCACCCGCATCCCCACACACCCAGCCGTGGGGCACCCTGCTTTTAGGAAAATACAGAGATTTTTGCAATCTGAAGCACTTTCTGGCTTCTGTTCGCTGCAGCTGTATGTGGTTTGGACTGAGTTTTCCAACAATTTCATGCTGCATTGGCACACTGCAACCACCACTTTTACATTCATGACAGGTAATTCAGGTCACTATGGGATACAAAAACCTCCCCCATCCTTCATCTCTGCCCCACCATCCTTCACTTATGATGAGCAGGGATGCAAGAGGTCCCTCAGTGGCTGGCTGCTGTCACGTAGAAGCAGACTGACTTGCTAATAGGCAGAATTTACTTCTCCCCATCTGGCCTGAGCTACCCTGAACTTCAGCATGTTCCTAAAACTTCCCTTTGTCCAAGAGATTTCCAGCTTCTGACCAGTTTTTAACAGTCAACAGCAGCTGAGCAGTAAAAAGATTTGAAACTGGAGAGGTTACGTAGCTCAGGAGGCAAAGAACAAAGTTCTACCTTTTTGAGAGAGCGAATTTGACAGACATGAAGGGACACAACCACTAACAGGAGCCTGTCACCAGACACAGCAGAAACACATTGCTCTTTTCCCAGAGCATTTGTCCTAGGCTGGACGCACGAGGAGTCCATTCAGGTAAAAGAAAACCCTGGCAGCCCTTGCTCACCAGCTTTGAAATCTGGAGAGCAATCCTGCCGCTGGTGGGGAAAAAAAAATAGAAACAAACCCTGGGAACCTCAAGAAGAGCTTTGTATTTCCTACACAAAGCCTGCCAGGTCAGATAAGCATTTCCACACCTATAACAGAAGCAGTCAGAGGATGCTGAGGTCCTTCCTCCCCACATCTGCATCATCACTGTCTGCCTCATTACCTCCCTGAAGAGCTATTTCAATCTCCAGCTTCCACTTCACCACATCTTCAGAGGGCAACTTTTTCTCCTTTTTGGCATTTCAATCTCTAAATATTCAATAAGCACTGTTTTATTTTGTCATGATAGGGGCAGCTGGGATATTCCTCAATCACTACAGCACATGCACTCAATACACAAGAGGCTCTCAGTGAGTCAAGTTTCACTCCCAGCCTTGGGTTTTCTGTGTGAACCATTCATTTTGCTGAGTTGGCGTTTATACACACCTCCAACTCTCCCCCCCCACAAACACACCCCTTTTCACCATGTGAAACCTGAGGCAAATAGGAGCTTGAAGTCATAACTTCTTTTTCTCTGCCCAGAAGGCTGAACTCACTGCTACTTCCACGTGGCCACCCAAATCCCACAGCACGCTGCTCGAACCTCGCTTTGCTGGTGCTGATTCTCACATTCCTCACTCCCAGCCCACTGCTATTCTTTGGCATCTAACCTTACAGGGATGAACCCACACAAAGCAAAGCCCAAACAAGTGCACACTCATTTTTCTCCACAAATCCAAGCGCAGTAGGGCCTCCCCTTCCTGCCTTCTCTCACTATCGTCCAGCTGTGCCCATAAACCACAGCCTGCTGAACCAATGCAGAGTGGAAGGCAGCTATTAAATCCGCTCCCTGGAGCTTTAACACTTGCAGCAATTTGTAGGGGAATTATTCTCCCTGCTCAGTTTGCAGCCTGCCTCCAGCCCTATGCAAAGGGGATGGTTCACAGAGCAGGGCTCAGCCTCCTCTCCAAGAGCAGAGTTGATGTTAGAAAATCTGCAGGGGTTGCCAGCTGTCTGGCCAATGATTCCAGGCAGCACTGCTTGTTTACAGTATGGCTGGGCTATGCAAGTCCAAATTGGGCACTTATTTCATATATCCACCGCAGTCAGGAATGTTTGAAGGTGCACAGGGCTTTTAGAGACGAGGAAACAGCAAAATGTACCGCAAGCCTGGAGCTTTCTAAATATTTGCATTTTCCTTTATTTATTTTTCTTTTATTATTCCCTCACCTCTTTTTTAGAAGCCAGAAACCGAGTTGTATTTGTATACTGCATTCTCTTTGTCTCACAGGAGAAACACACTGATTTGTTTTTCAGCAATAGACTCCAAAAACTTCCTTCCTTCCTTCCTTCTTCCTATAAGTGCCCTCAAACACTTCCCTGGTGAGCGCTAGAAAAGAAAGAAGAGGACCTTTGTGTGGTGCCCCAGCCCTCATCCATTGCCAGCACTGCACCAGAGGAAAAGCAGGCCATGAATTGCCAGCAATGGGGATGAACTACCAGGATTCTCAGCAGAGCATCCAGCTCTTCTGCAGCTCTGGGTGCTCAAAACTGTTGCTCCTCAGCTTTCAGATGTTTATACAAAGTATCCCAGCAGCACTCAGAAGATCACAAAAATCCCAGTTAAAGAACAGCTACAAAGAAACCTGTATAGGGAACCTCAAATACACAAATAAATACAGACCAAGCCTCAACCCAACGACTACAGAGTAGCTTCGCCACAGCTACAGAGGACAGACACAAAGCTCAATGCTCTGAACTACTCACCCCCAGAAGCTGAGCTGCCCTCAGCTCAGGAGTTCTGCAGTCTTCCCTCTAGGCAAACCCAAACTCTGGCTTACCACAACCTTTATGGCCTAATCAGTCTGGCTAATTATGCCTCAGCTGCTTGATTGCAGATTGATTGGTGCTCTTTAACTCTTTCCAGCCCAGTGGCACGGGGGATATCTTCATACTTTTACCCACAAATGGGCAGATCTGAGCATTCTCACTCAATTGGGATCATGTGTCACTCCCTGTGCATTAGCAAAATGCTCTGATTGTTTCATGAATATCACTTCCATCTTGGCCAATCAAGCTGCAGCCTGTATGCATTCACATCATTCCTAATCGTGTGCCAAGGCAGCAGAGACATCTCTGCAGGCTTCCTTCACAGTGCATAGGAATCACCGTGGCTCTACCTTCTCACTTAAACATATCCACAGTCTAACAATTAACTCCATAAAGGGTAAAGGTACAGAGGCTCCCACTATTCCTGCACTAGCCACTTCCAGACATTGCTGGCCAGCTACCTGGTGTTCCCATTTAACCTCCCTCAAGGAACTCAAAGGGAAGATGACTGACAGGGTGAAAAAAAAACACAAAAACATGAAAATATGCCTTTCAAATTTTGTACATCATTGGTGAGATCTGTGATGGATCTGGAATTATCATTCCCTTTTTTTAAAACTCTAGATGCTGTGGCTCTTGTCCCACACAGCTGGGGGAAGGGCAGGGAATGGAGCCTCCTCAGGAGGAAAATTGTAGGAAATATTGAGAATGCAATATACTGTAAATAGCAGATACTTTAGAAGAAAGAAGTGATGGTAAATAAAAATTCCAGGTTCTTGTCAGCAAGAACAGTTCCAAAGAACCCATGTTCACACTTCTCTACTTATTTTCTCTAGCCAACATGTTTTTTGTGTTTTTACATTTCATTTCCTCCTCCATCTCTCTTTCTGCCACCTATTCCAGCTGCTCCATTTCTCTCTTCCCTCTTGCCTCCATTTCTTGCTTATAACAAATTGCCTCTGTAGTAGATTGTGAGACCTCTTTCAAACACTTGACCCTGATAGCTAATATCACATATCAGTGTAACAATTAGTATGCTTCATCCTAAAAGTTCTGCTCTGAAATGAAGGGGTTAAGACATTGCTTGTCCTGCTTTTTAATAATGCATCCCCAGCTTTATTTTTCAGTGAGGAGCAATAGATTTCCACACGCCTGCTGGAGAAAGAAGAGCAGCTCTCTGGATTGAGTCAACGTTTGCACCGATATTCGTTTCCCTTCCATTCACTGCACTTACCAATAGCTGCAAAATTCAGCCCTTCTGTCAAAAAGTAGCTGTGCTTCTTATGGATTTTTTGATGTGTGCTAATTATTCCCAACCCTCAGTCTCTCTGGTGGGTTTCTGTAGAGCTCCCAGTTTGTGTAACACCCCATAAGGAATGGGTTTCCTCTCAGCCCAGCTTCCCGCCAGCATTTCCAGTGCCAGACCACCTCAACACCCCTATACCTGCTTCATCCCAGAGCCAGTGAGAGGGAAATCATGGCTGTGGCTTTGGGCATGACAGAGAAAGACATGTCATGTACTAATAGGCTCAGCTCCTCAAGCTTTAGTTTTGACAGAAACACCTCTTGCAATGAAAAACAGAAATAAATAAAACCAGGAAACACGCTGAGTCATCCAAAATGTTGCAGACAGCAGTTTGGCCCTTGCTGAAATGAGGTGCTCATTTCTCTGCGTCGTTTTCATTCTTTCCTACAGGTTGCCTTAACCTTGGCCGCAGATGGAAGAAATTTCTCTCCTTTGCTGCAGTTCCTCTTCTGTCAGAGAAGTGGCATAAAGCAGTGAGCGCTCTGTGTTACAGCAGTGACAATAAATGGAGAAGACATTTATAGCAGATCTGGTTGAATAGATGAGGCTACCTATTACAAGCTTTGCTCTACCCACAAAATACCATTTCGTGCTGGCACTTTGATGTTTTCCTTTCTTGTCCCAAAGAAAGGGCTGAGACACCTACTGAAATGATGGAATATACAACTCCCAGCACAACTGCAGCAAGGACACATATTTCCAGAGTGGCTCTTGTCAAAAAAGCAATAAATTTATATATTGCAATAAATAACAACAATGCATATTTTGTTTTGAGAAAGATGCTATTTTCTTTGCAATGAAAACAACCACAAGCACCAGGATCCGCTTTATTTTCTCCCATTTTGAATCATGAAGGTTGGAAATACCTCTAAGCTCACCCAGTCCAACCCCAACCCACCCCCACCATGCCCACTCACCATGTCCCTCGGTGCCACATCTCCACAGTACTTGAATGCCTCCTCAGCTTTTGTTTTCTCTTTTACTTTCTGTTGAGAAAACAAAGTGCGCGCATGCAAGGGACCCTGGTGAAAAGCAAAAAAGAAAATATAGATTAAGGAAACTTTTAAAATTACAGCTGAGATAGTCGTTTTTCCAAAGATTGATTTTGATTTTCACTGGGCTTTTCAATGAAATACCAAAATATATAGGGAAAGAAAGTTAATAATATTTGGACTATAATAGAATATTGACCTATTTTTCCTCTGAGAGAGGAATAAATCTAGCATGTGGTTCATCCTGCTACAGCCAGTTCCTTTCCCTGCACTTTCTATTAGGTGGGAATAAGTGGCCACCATTATTATCATCCTCCTCCACGTTATTACTGTACTTAGAAATGTTAATCATAGTTTTATCACATGCCAGAGAGAGCTGTGAACTGCACTGTTTCTCACCAAATATACTGGAGGTGTAAATTAGACAAAGCCATGAATCAGATCTCTTTTGTCCGTGTACTTCCATGCTCTTTTCAGGCTTTTGTTGTTGTTAATATTTAGAGAAAAATCAACAGTGAAAGTGAGAGACCCTTTCCAACCCAGAATAATCTCTGAAATGAAATATCTTATGGGAATATCTTTCGCATTCATCCTAAAGGATATTGGAGCTGCTGCAGGACTCTGGACCTGAGGTGTGCAGAGCGAGCTGCAGGCTGTGAGATACAAGCATCCAATCGAGATAAACTGATTCGTTTATCAACAAACACCTCTGTTAATTGTTTTCTGTGATATAAAGGTAATGGATGTATTAGCAAACTCCAGGTGGAATAAAGTGGGAGATAAGCCCCTCCTGTTGATAATGGTTTAATTTATCCACTCAGAGAATACAAAGAGTCAACATGTAATTTAAATACTTAGGACAAAAGACAAATTAGGAAAGTATGTAAATGAGGAAAAGAAAGAAACTACAGGGGTGAAAATGGAAGCAGACTGGTGGCAGGGAGTCATGTTATGCTGCTGCTTGTAAAGAGCTGGAATCAGAAATTATTTTCCTTAACCACCATATTAAATTAGGAGCTGCTTCTGTGCTGCAGATGGGTGCCTGACTACGAGGCGGCCACTGACAAACATCCAGAAAGGAAGATATCTGCCTTTCACTTGGGCAGAATAGCTCTTGTTGCCCAATGAATAGTGCTTAATGTAGTTATGGTTAAGGTATATGAGTGTCTGCAGCTGAAGGACATTGTGGATTGACCAGGGCTTGGATGATACCCTATGTACACAGCCTTGCAATCCTCGATACACGTTCTGGTCAACAGGGCTTCAAAGTTGCACCAAAAATGTTTCAGACACTTGGACTGGACACCTTATGGACAGCCCTTGTGAGGCACCTTGCTGCCCTGTGTCCTGAGGCAGTGAAGATACAGGGCTACCAGCATCTGAAAGGAACCAGTTAGGGACGCTTATGGAGAAACCAGTGCCATTTCTTTAGTTGTGTCCTCCTCTCCCATCTCTCTTTCTGCTCAACTTTCCAGAATTGACATTAACATCCTATAACATAATGAGATCTTTTTACCAGGTTTACTTGGTATTACTTTACCTTTGCTGAAATTTAGAATTCAAACATGAGGAAGTTCACACCATGTCTTGTCTAGAACATTTAACCTGGCATCACCAAACTATTGGTTTTCTCATACACTGGTTTGTAATAATTGAATGACCATAAACTCAGTCAGTTTTGATTTCACAGCATCAAAAAGATATGGCAGACCTTCATGATTCAGGCTTTCTTTTTCTTCCCCTCTACTTTTTTCAAAGTCCTTTCTGACAAAACCAAGGACTCTTGGGCAGTATTTCCTATTTATTTCACTGTCTGATGCTAATTTGAAGAGACACACTGAGAATGACAGAAGTTAAGCTGCCTGAAAAATAGGTTTCCAGCCCTCGAGGCAAAAGTTAAAACTTTCTGTTGTTTTAACTATGTTTTTCTTCTCAAAGCAGCCTGAGAAAACCCTACTGCTGAGCTAAGGGTTAATTGAGACACAGCTGCGTCCCCTCTTTTTAGTCTTTAACCAAGCTTGAAGTAAAAACTCCATGTCTCAGAAGCAACAAAACAACCAGGATAAGAAGTGATTATCCATCACGGTTGGATATCACAACTCAAACAAGAGGAAATCTTCTGTAAAACGCTTTTGTTTTTCAGAACTGACGTAGCTTGTAAGTTGTTTTATTCACTGCTGCTCAGTTCACGTGCAATGAGCTCTGATCCCTCTCATGTACTTTCCGGAAAGTTCACTCCCAAGTTCACTCTCCATCCAATCCTCATTTTGCATTTTTTTTCTGTGTCCCAGATCTGTTTTGCTTCTATGGAGGAGTCGAGGAGTAGCGCTCCACCCCAGAGATAGTTGCATTTCAGCAAGGAGTTATTTTGTACCTATGAAAAACACCAGAACAAGAAATAAGTAAAGGTAAAATATCTTTCAACACTCAGTTCAAGATCAGAAGTGAACTAAAACATCACAATTCAGAAAATAGATGTATGTAAAGAACACTCATTCCTTCTCATTAAAGTAACACTAAGTCACAATGTTCCCTCACGTCTGTGTGACGCTGCAGGCACGTAGCAGTGTGACCCCTAAAAAGTCCCAGAATTTTCACCTTGTGTTCTATGGTGTCTTCAGCTGTCAGTGTACAAATGTGTGCAGCTTATATAAAGGATGTGATTTACACAAGCAGTGCTGACAGTCCTGCATGCAGCTAAGAACTGCTTTGCAACTAGTGTGTTGGAACGTGCTTATACAAACCACGTATCAAAAAAATTCAATGAATATAAACGTGAAAAAAAAAAAGATTGTTTTCAGGATACAGAGAAAAGTTGGAAAGGTCTCAAAACATGAAATCTTTGCAGTGATTGGTTCACTCAATTCTGTTCCCAGTCACCAATAAATGTGTAGCAAGATTCCAGCAACCGCTCTGGTTGTTTTCCTTTGGCTGTTTTGTTTGGATTTCAATCTAATTAAGAACATCCAGAAAGGTTCAGGGGTTTATTGCCCTTCAGAATATAATTAGAGATCAGATCTAACAGTGTTATTCATTTGTGGAGATAAGGGAATAGCAGTATTAAAAAAACCACAGCCATTTAGAGAATGCACCAATTAACTAACACATTGATATAATACACGTTATGTCTGCACACATGTGCACATATGTGAACATACGAACACTTGAATGTTTGACATTCAAATGAATATTTCATATTTTGCTTTGTAAAGCTCTGTTTCAGTGCTCCTAGAGCTGAGCAAAGAAGTAGGTGGCCTCTCCCCGTGCCTGCTGCCTGCAATCCCTGGAGGAGCTTAGTATCTCTGAAATCTCAGCTAGTAATGACCACAGCACATGGCTTATTTCATTGTCAGCAACTGACAAGCACTGATGGCACCACTGCAATTATCATAGAATCACAGAATCATTAAGATTGGAAAGGACCACTAAGCTCATTTAGTCCAATCATCAACCCATCCCCACCATGCCCACTAACCATGTCCCTCAGTGCCACATCTACGCTTTTCTTGAACATTCCACCAGTGATGATGATGCATAGCAGCTTGATTTGGCTGCAGATGAGATATTCAATCTTCCTCCTTTCACAGGGCTCTCTAATGACCTGATGGAGGAGATGTGGCAATGTCAGTCTACTGAGAAAAGCTTTGTTTTCCTTAGTGACCTTTTATGTTCCTAGTTTGAGTTAGCTTCTGGATTCTCAGCCATCAGCAATGTGAAAATCAGTGCTGCAGAAGCTCAGTTTAAGCTCTGTAAATCTTCCCTGGAGAGCGGGCACTGTGTCTCACTGCTGAATCAGCAACTGCAAACTCAACAGGTTGATTCGAGCTGACAGGAGATCCTGCATTACTTCCATCAGTAAATGCTAGAGACAAGCCCATCCAGCCTTCACACAATGTGCCCCAGTTCTTATTTTCTTCAGCCCTGACATGGTTCTGTTCTCAGTTTGTTCCTATTGTGGCTGCGCCCTTCTTTCACTATAAGTGAAAGAAACAAATGTTCAGCAGGAAAAGACCAGTTCTACTATTAGATGCTCCCTGTGGTGGGACAGCTTCTTCTCAGAATGAGTGGTGATGCATGGGCACAGGCTGCCCAGGGAGGTGCTGGAGTCACTGTTCCTGGAGGTGTTCAGGAACTGTGTGGATGTGGCACTGAGGGATGTGGTCAGTGGGCACGGTGGGGGTGGGTTGACAGTCAGACTAGATGGCCTTAGAGCTCTTTTTCAACCTTAAGGAACTCTATAGCTCTTTGATTTCCTCCTCATGCCTGTGTGAGTGATCCCATAGCTAAATATCTGACAGCAGCATCACAGGAGGAAGGCTGAGGGCACCAAGTCGGTCCTACAGCTTCAGCAAAAACTGTACCAAAGGCACATGGCTGGAGTTGGTGGAGTGGAATCTGGGGCCCCAGAACAAGTTCAAAAGCTCAACCTTATCTTAAAACAGCATGTCTAGTAGTCTTGACATCTGGGTAAATGCCTTTCAAGTCAAAGCAGCATAGCAAATTTGAGCACTTCACCTCTCTGATAGGAAATTGATGCATCCCTTTAGCATTCAGCTTCCAAACCAGATTTCTTCTTTCTCCATACCACATCCCTATCCTGCCATCAGCTGCCTTCTGTTTTCCCAGAACAACTCAGAAAGGTACTGGAGCAGAGGGGAGATGGGACAGAAATGGTCATCAATGCTTTTGTCACAGCGAGCAGATGCCGGCTGATGACAGATGGGTGACAGCCCTCACACCTGGGCTCCTGCCCACACTTGGCCATCTTGCCTTCGAAATCATCACTACATCATTAGTGCCAGGTGAAAAGAAAGCAAGGAAACTAACATGAAACGCCTGCAAGGTTCATGACAGGAATGTCTGCGCCAAGGAAATCTGGCGTGTCTGAACCCCTTGTCCTGACAAGGATTATTCTCCCCTTTCTCTCTCACTCTCTATCTTTCTTTTCTTCCCCGTTTCCCACCACATCCTGAGGTTTGAGTCACTGTGGGTTGTGCTTTTATCAACAATAAAACACACAGACACCTTTCACAGCTGCCGAACTGGTTGCTCGCTTGGAATTTGGCTTTATAAAAGCTGGTTGTTTGCTTTTAGAGAGTTCACACGTGTATATGCAGCCTCAGACCTGCACACAAAGAATTCTCCATTTGCCTATGCTACAGCCAAAAAACATGGCCTTACAGAGCTCAAGCTGTCAGCAGAGAGGAGCAGTGCTGCGCTGTCACCCCAGAGCAATGAGGCAGTGCTGCATAGGCCAGCAGGTAGCCCAGTGGTTAATTAGGACCCTGTAAAACAAAAACAAAATGAATTAAACAAAGAGCAATCAATGGACAGTAAGCTTTTCCAGGATGTCATGTACCTAGCAGAGTAACAACAGCATCAAGATTAACGTTACTGATTTGGAATCCTTGCAAGGAAAATTCTTTGTACAGCTGAAAAGTGCTATACAGCTCCTCATTTCAATTACACTTCTCATCCTTTCGCATTTCTTACTGACAGTGGAATGCTATGCCTGCACTGGACCAATGGGAATCAGTGGACGAGCCTCCATCCCACAATATTCCAACACAGCAGCCCCTTCCCAAACTGCCCTGTTCAATGGCATCGGCAACACGGCTCCCTTTCCTCCTGGTTTTTCACTTTCACACTGCCTCTGCACTTCCCGATTCCTGCTCACACTGAACATGATGAACTACAGCAAGGAAGGCGCCTCTGATGGTATTTCCTGCCTGTCAAACAACAGAAAGCATCAGAAACTTTGGGAGAAATCCATTTCACCTGACACTGCTACATTAACAGTCTGGGCCCAGATGACTGTGATGGGTTTGTACTGGGGAGTAAGGAGTTTTCCTAAACTCTGATCCTGTTGAGGCTTGGTTACCTCTTTCAGGTTCCATGTAAGTTTTCGTGCTGCCTATGATGCTTCCTCCAGCCAAAGGAGTTCCATGGTGAGGGTCATTTATGCTTCTTAATCAGCTCAATATTTGCAGTGCTCCAAGCTGTTCTCGTTGCATAAAGGTGCTCCCTAGTGAATTCTTGCTGTTTGTCTGACTTGTGGGGTGTCAGCTCACACTCATTCCAACACAGGGATCCCTTTGCTAATGCATTTCACATGAGCAGCCTTTCATTCAAAACTCTTCCAAGCAAATAAATTGAATTTTTTTTTTTTCCATCGATGCATTTCAGTCATTGAAAACAAGGAAAGTATATTGTGTTATTTAGATCACCTATCATGCAAAATAAATAGGTACCAGTTGAACTTGTTAACAAATAATGGAAGAGAACACTTGAAAAAAGCTGAATTCACTTCCCAAATGTTTGTGAGTCAGAGAAGCAGCCATATGCCTGCTTGGAAATGGACCTGGTTCCTCTTGAAATTAGCACCTACTCTTAACAACCACCACACACTTAAATCCACCAAAGATGAGTGAGACCAACAACTGCTGAGCTAGGACACTACCCTGCAATGTTTTCAGCTGTTTTCAACACAGGAATTCTTCCCCAGCATCCTGCAGACACCGCCAGAAATCCTCGAGGCCATGGAGGGCATTTGGATATTCATTTCTGCGAATCAAAATTTCCCCCCAGGCTTTGCAGAACTTGAACCAGCTCTGTTTTGTGTCCATCCATGACAACGTTAGCTACTGGTTTCTCTGGGAGAAAGGATAGTTTCAAAAATAAAAGCTTCCATTTTGTTGTAAGGGTAAATGAAAGTACAAGACAGGCAAACTACCAATTTCCTCCATAGAATGAAAGGAACTACTGAGCAATTAAAAAAAAAAAAAAAAAAGTCAGGGACTAAAACTCCATGATTCAGCAGAGCTTCTCAGGACATACCTGAAAGTGCCGCTTCCCTCTATTTTCCCCAGCTGCTCACGGGTCGACCAGACTTTCCTTACTGCGATGTGTTGGCAGCAAACAACATTTCATGAGACAGCTATAGTCTGCAACATCTTGTCTGCTGCTCTTATTAACAATTTTTCTCCTCATCTATGTCTGCTTCATCTGAAACAGACAGTCTACATGTCAGATGTTCATTATATTGATGATGTCCCAATGACAACCAATTTATTTTCCTGCCTGCACCACCAAGAATTGTATTACTAATGATGTCTATCTGCTCTAGAAATGCTTTGTAAAAACTGATGGTCTGCCATGGGGATACTTAATTATATCTTCTTAAAGGAATACAATTAAGTTTGTAGGTAAAAGATTGCTCTGGGGTTAAAAATGTATCTCCAAATTAGTTTTCCTGGTGGGTAAGATATTTAATTTTCATTTCAGTAACCAAACTGGAGAATTGATCTGGGAGATCTGGTAAGATGAATGCTCTCAAAAGCACACGACACCCATCTGAGCCAACATTCAGCCCTTCCCCAACATGATATCCGGTGGTGAAACCAGGAAAACACCACACACACACACACGACAGTGCATCCAGCAACGAAGGACCTGTGAATACCAGATGCTGATGGGGTCAGGCCTTTCAGACAGTTACAAACAGCAGTGTGCAAAGTGCAGTTCTTTATTTGCATTTCCACCAAGGAAATCCCCACTGAGATGACTATAAGGAAACTTACAGAGAACATCAGGCAAAGTGCTCAAATTGGAAGCCACAAAAACATGGTGTTCCCAGTTGGCACAAATCTCCTTGTCACCCTTTAGCAAGTCTGCAGGGCTTGGGGCACTACTGACACTTGGATCCTCACCCAGAAATGGGCAGTGTGAGGACATATCGTACAGACAGCAGCTGGCTCCTTCACTCAAGCCAACAGAAGGTGTCTCAGCTCTCCTGAAGCCTACACACAAGCTGGGATCTTTCATCTGTGGTTTCCAAACTGTCCTGACTGGTAACAGTTGGATTTTCTGCAGCAGCTTCCTTTGACTCCTTAGGATCATTTATCCTTTCAGTTCAGTCTGCTCCGATGTTTTCCACATCACCTCTGACATTTTCAGTTTCCACATTAGCTATAACATATTTATTATTTTTAGCTGAGCGATTCCTTTCTGAAAGCAAATCACTTTTTCATAGCATTTTGGAAAGGAACCCAAGAAGATGCCTGAAAGGAATGTCATGAAATTACATGTAGCAATACTTCCCTGCGATGCAAAGCTCAACTCATTTAACATGCAGATCTCTTCAAATGCTGGGAACCACCTGCTCCCCACAGCACACAATTTTCAAGTCCAAAACTGAAAATAAACATGTGAAAGTGGCGCGCACACACACACTCACACACACAAATCCTTATCTGGGTCTATTTTAGCACATCAGAAACCGCTGATGTGAAAAAGGACGCAAAGAAGAAACTCCTTTGTGTACTACTACTTTAAAAATAGTCTATCATAGTTATTTCCAGAATATGTCAGCGGATAATTTAAAACAAATGTTTTGGATGAAGGCAGAAGTTTTCAAATTACTTGCGGCAAATAATATGTATAATAATATTGATTTTATTTGTGGTCTTTCTCTCCTGTTTTCTGCTAAGACATTCATTGCTGGAACGTATTTACTAAACAGTTTGGAGAAGTGTTTGCCAAGCTGTTGTCTTTTTGCTAATTGTACAGTGTGATATTTTTGTTAGTTGATTTTAATAATAATGATTGTATTGGCAGGCTCAACCACATGATATTCATTTGGTTTCTTGACTGGAGAGACTGAAGAGCCGCAAATTAAAAAACTGCAAACAGCAAAATTGCTTTCATTCCTAGGTGCAACATTTGGTTGAAAACAAACGTTAGGGGAGCTCCTAGGGATCAGTTTTATGAAGTTCTATAGCTGCTCCACCTGACTGAGCAACCCAGAATCATAGAATCATGGAATCATTAAGGTGGAAAAGATCTCTAAGATCATCTAATCCAACTCTCCACCTACTACCAATAGTGCCCACTGAGCACATCCCTCACTACCACCTCTACATGTTCCTTGAAGACCTTCAGGAATGATGACACCACCACCTCCCTGGGCAGCCTGTTCCAGTACCCAACACTGCTTCTTTCAGATATTTTTTTCCTAATATCCGACATGAACCTTCCCTGGCACAAAATGAGGCCGTTCCCTCTCATCCTATCAAAAGAGTAACTGTTCTGGAAAAAAGCTAAAGGAAACTTTCGAGTTGTGCTGTGTGTGGGAGAGCTGGGAACATCCTTTGCCTCATTGGTTCCCATGGCTGGAAGCCCCTCCACTTCCCAGCTGAAGCTGCTTCAGCCACTCTCCCCCAAGCTTTCTGATCAAGCTGGTCATCCCAGATCCAACAGATCTTATCCACTAAGAAAAAAGCCTGACACATTTTCCATGTGTGTACAAAAGATTAGAAACCAATCTTCCAGACACAAAAAACTCCTGTTCATTAGCAAAGCTTGGATCAGGACTGAGATCCCGACTCCATGGCTCGGGATGGCTGCCAATTCTGTCATGTCTTTCCATCCCTTTTCTGGACAAGATCGATAGCAGCCGTGCCAATAGAAATGAGAGTTCGAAGCTGTTTTTAGAACTGTGGTAATTTGTGTGAAAGCAAAAGGAACAAAAATATTCAAACTGAAGCCTAGCTCCATGAAATTTCCATCTCCATTCTGCAGAGCTGGGGTTTGGACCAGGTTCAGCTTGAAGGTGCTTAGCACATGCATCTTACCATATATTGCTGCCACAAGACCAAGACCTTGTTCTGCTCCCTTTCAGCACAGATTAACTTTGTCTCAGATATCAATGGGTGAACTCAGGATTTTACTGTAGTTAAGGAATTTGCCCCTTTTGGTAAGTTTTGAACTCTTTAGTCCAACTTTCTTCTCTGACCGTATTGGCCCTAGCACTAAACCTCTTGAAATCCAATGGATGGGCCACCTTTGAGGTGCTTTGCCCTCAGGCTGTACAGAGAAAAGCATCAATCCTTCACACTACAAGAGGAATGGTAACGTATGGGAAGGTATGCTTCTAGAGAAATATTTAGAATTGTCCTTGTTCTCTTATTCATTTAAGGCATTAACTGCAGGATTCATTTGCTCTTTATAAGCAAACTATGAGACTTTCATATGCATGAGCCATAAATATTGCATTTAGTCAGGTCCCTGCCACATTATTAAAAGGCATTCTGTTTACAGCCAGAAGATCTGATAGAAAACATTGCCTGCTCTGTCAGTAACACGCAAAAACTAGTTGGCACCCATGAAATAAATGCTGTTTGATGTAAATTGCTTCAGAGCGAGACTTGGAAAAATGTTTATTCAAGGCCTTACAACAATCTGTTTGGATACACTGCAGCTAGGGAATGTGTCACCTATAATGCTG